GAGCACAAATCACCTATACTTGGAAAAGCTTTGCTAATTATTTTTAATAATACTTATAGTTACTTTATGATTGCAAAAGTAATACATATTCTGTACAGAAAATTAGAAGAGCGAAATGTAAATAATATAAATACAAATACAAATACAAATACAAATACAAATACAAATAAACTGACTCACAAAACCAGGAGAATATCTGTTTTGCCCTAAATCTCCCCAGTCATTATGAGAACACTCAGACTCAAAGAGTTAAAATTATTTATTTTAGTTCTCAAGGGCAAAAAATTAACAATAGAGTTGCCTCCTGATGGGACATAGCATTTTTCAGTTTGTGTATCATATGCCCCACATAATCCCAGCTGTAAAATGTTCAGGCCATTGGGGGAAGTCCTGTTACTGCCACGGTACAGAAGAGTAAACCTGGAAGATGTTCAATGATGTATCCAAAATCATACAGCTGATAGGGAGATTTGGGATGTAAATCTAGATTATTAGACTGCAACTTTCAGTCCTCTCTACTACCTCATCCTACTGAACTTATACAGCCTGGTGGATCAAATATGGAAGCAATAAAAACATCATGGCTTGGTTCAGAAATTCATAGTTGTATCTGAGAAATAGCTATTTCATTATTCTGCTGGCAAACTTTACCAGTTATTCAGCTAACATATTTATTTATAGACTTGGTTCCAGCTGTGTGAATTTGGTCATATTGCTCTTACTTTTCTGGGCCTCAATTTAAACATCTAGAAAATGGACATAAATGAAACCACTGTCATTTTTCTTTGTTTCATTTTGTTTTAATTTATTTTTTATGGTGCCATTGGTTAATGAAATCCAATAAGTTTCATCTGTACACTTTAACAGTAAAGCACATATATTTTTACACTGTGTGTTCACCTCCCATAGTTAGATTTCTTTCTGTCACCACAGATTTGACTCCCTTTACCATGGTCATTTTGGACGTCCTCAGTCATATGTTTAAAAAAATATCACATTAGTCAGGATATAGGGTAGTTCCAAGGCTGAACCATGTCCTCAAAGGTTCCCACCCCCGACTCCCTACACACACACACACACACACACACACACACACACACACACACACACACACACACACACATTTCTGTTCTGCCCAACCAATGTAACAGTCCTAGTGATCTCACAATATCTGCTCAAGAGAATCACTTTAGACGGGCCAACTATTAGTAGATATACAAATATCCTTTCCGTAAGTCCTTTCTTAAAGAAAGGCAATAATTTATAGATACTTCTCAGTAGATTTTCTCTCATGCCTTGTGACTAGGATTGAATCATATACTATTTCAGAACCAATTACTGGTATGGCAAATAGTTGTCTTTGGGTATATACACACTCGATTTCAAACATTTATATAATTTTGCTATTTAAAATGCCTGCAACTCCTGGCAGATTATACTTTAGGATAATGTAAGAACCTTTTCCTCACATTCATATATATATATATTTTTAATTCTTTCATCTAATAATCATAAAGTGGTAACTGATAGTAGTTATATTAATGCACTCATACCCATTCACCCACTCTCCCACACACATACACACATATTTCTTTTTTATGAGTCACAAAACTAGTGACATTTAAAGCATATTGCTTGCAAAGCTGTGTGGAAAGAACAGTCTCACAAGTTGTTGGTGGTAGTTTAGTACAACCTGTACGAAAGCATTTGAGCAATACCTTTTACAATCCCAGCAATGTATCCTTTGACCCAGCCTTTCTAAGTGAAGCAATATATCTTCTAGATACTGTCAGTACCAGGATATTCATTTAAAAATATTTGTTGAGAACCTATCATCGACCAAGCAATGCCAGAATTGCTGGGGATATATCAGGAACAAAGTCAAAAAGTAGTCTTCTCTTTATGAAGCTTATATTTTGGTACAGCATTATATGTGACAGTAAAGCACTTAATAAATAAAAAAATAGAGACCACTTCTCATATAATATAGGAAGCTACTTTCTAAGCAAAGGAGAACTTCTATGAGAAAAGATTCCTTATTTTTTTTTAGAGATTCATACCATTTTGTTACATAACTGTAAAATAGCTTAATTAGCTAGTACTTTATAGAAAAAAAAAAGTATTATCTGGGAAAGGTTTGATTATTCTATGGTGATCTCAACAAGTAGCCACTAGAACCAGTTTTTAAATACAACATGAGAAAGTTTTATGAGTCCTGATATGGAAAGATCTCCAAGAGGTGTTGTTAAATTAAAATTGGAGGAAACAGTATTTGTATTTGCTGATATAATGTATAATGTGTTTCTGGCAAGAGATATAATAAATTAACAACTGGTGTCTAGGAAGCTGGAGGCAGGGGAATTGGATAGTTGTGGGGCTGGAGAGAGAGGAATACTTTTCACTATAACTATCTTTTTGTAACTATGATATTTGAAAATATATATTTATTAAGTGGAAAATTTAATAATATAGTATGTATTACTATGTTTGCCATTGTAAAAAATGTATTTATTTTACTATTACTGTTCTTGAAAATCTCAACTTATACTTATTAGCCATTATTTTTTTCTTATATGTAAGAGATGCTTTATATTCTGAGTAATTTTCTGTTAAGTTTAGATCATTGAAGTATTTTCACCGATATCTTATTTGTCTTTGATGTTCTTTGCCTAATAGGAAATTTTACTTTTAATCCAATACAAAAAAATTGTCTTTAAATTTTCGTATTTAAGAAAAACATTTGTTTAAGAATTCCTTCTAAACCACACCACCATAAAAATGATCAGATATTTTCATGAAACTTAAATTATTTTGAATTTATTTCAAATTTATTGTCATATATGGTTTAAGAAAGGCTTCCAACTTCATTTTTTCCTAACACATTTTACTAAACAATCAACTATTGATCCACTAATGTGTGATGCCTGCTTTTGGTCTCACATGAGCCCCAGGATGGTGGTTAATCCACAGTTGATCTATCACCATCACCATCACCATCATCATCACCATTGAACCCCCAAATGGTCTAATTCTTCTTGGTAGTTCTTCCCTAGCTTTCTGTAGTTTCCTCGCAAATATATTCTTATCAAAATAGAACTGAAGACTTTGGGGACCCTCTGCAGATCTCTAGTACTCTCTTTGGGCAGCTCTCTCCTCTCTAATAGTGTATACTAAAAACTTTAGTCACTTTGGCACCTCAGACTCCCAGCTTTGGCTCCTTAACTCAGGATGCCACGGGCTCCACTTGGGTTCTGCCTCTCAGTGCTGTGGTCTGGAAGCTCTCTCCATGCAGAGTGGGGAGGCAGCTACAGGGCCCACCCACTATGTTTTCTAACTCCCAGAGATCCTGATCCTGACTCCCTGATGGCCAAGGTCTGAAAACCCTTGTTTCATATTTGTTAAGTCTCCTTTTCCAGTCATTTCAGACAGGAGACTCAGTTTCGTCACTGGTATTCCATCTTGGTTGAAAGTAGAAGTGTCCTTTAGTATTTCTTAATATGCAATAATGTGAGTCCCCAACTTTGTTCTTATATTTCAATATAATCTTAGTTTTTGCTATGCTTTTCAAGAAATTTTCCATGGTCCTTCAAAGACTCGACTGGAATTTTGAACAAAAGTACATTAAATTGATAGATTAAATGAGTGGGATATCTTTTCACAAGGTTAGGTCGTTATATCCATACATATAGTAAGATTATTTTTTTAGGTCTTCTTTTAAGTCTTTTATTGGAACTGTACATTTTTTAAATCTTCTAAAGTGATTATCTTTTCTTTATTAATTTAATTTGTAGATACTTTAGAGTATCTTTGGTAATGTTGTGCATGGTCTCATTTCCTATTGCATTTTATGGTTGGTTATTGGTATAGAGGGACTCTTGATTGCATATATTGAATGTGTAGCCAGAAATTTTGTTTATGTTTTCTAATTAGTTTCAACAGTTTTTCTGCTGATTCTCTTGATTTCCTACATACATCTTACTATCATCTGTGTCTAAGTATACTTTTGACTCTTCCTTTCCAATCTTTTTTTTATTTATTTTACTCTTGTTACTGAATTGTGCACTGTTCAGTGCACACTGAACAATATTAGTGATAGATGGAATATGTGTCATGTCTCTAACCTAAATGACAATCATCCTATATTTTCATATTTAAGTGTGATGTTTTCTTTTTGTTATCAGTAGGTAGCCATTAGAAAAGAAAGAAAATCCCCTACTCAGTTTCTCAGAGATGTTTTTTTATTTGATCAGATAAACATTGAATTTTATCATTTTTTTAAGTATATTGAAATGATCATTTTTAAAGCAGTGAATTACATCAATAAATTTTGACATTGAACTATTTTTACTGAACATTAATTGTGTGTGAGCACACACAAATATATTTTATTTGGTTTTGTAATGTCTGTTTCAATAGACAAAAATTATTTTTCCTCATTTTCATTTCTATCAAAAGGAGAGGAGAGCTATCATCATAGCATGGGTATAATCTTCTGTTATTCAGATTTTAAGCTCAACTTCAGCACCAGCAACCACATACTTGAATGAGTGGGTTAAGATCTTTGAGCATTAGTGTCCTCTTCTATAAAAATCAAGATAGAAATGAAAGTCAGGAATAAAATTCTCTGATGTGTTAACTTGTCAGCTCATACAATCAAGATTTATTTTCCAGTCTCTTCATCATTGTTTTCTAGTAAATTTCATCCCTACATACTCATTTCTCTCCTCAAACCTCATCTTCTAGACACATTTTCAGGTCTTTCATGTTTCCATGTTTTTGCATGTACTATACCTTCTGTGTAGCACAACCTTTTTTCAGTCAGTTATTTGATTAGCAGCAACTGATTCTGCCTCTTGCTAGATTAAGAAACTTGAAATTTATTGGAAAGATATTGAGTAGCTCACAGCAGAAACAGAGAGGAACCAGAGCTGTGCTTCAAGTCCAGGAAGCAGGAAACCCTCGATCATCTTACCCAGATGCCACATGACAAATCTACTCCAGTGCTCACTTCAGCAGCACATACACTAAGATTGGAATGATACACAGATGATTAGCACAGACCCTGTGCAAAGATCACATACAAATTTGTGAAGCGTTCCATATATTTTGTATTATATACTTAGAAGTTGCTAAGAGACTAGATCTTAAATAGTCTCACCACACAAAAGAAATTATAATGATATAATACAATAGAGGTGTTACCTAACACCATGATGAAAATCCTATTACAATATATAAATGTATCAAATCAACATACTGTGCATCTTAAATTTATATAATGTTATATGTCAATTATATCTCAAAATTATTTTCCTTTTTTAGGTAACAACTTTATTGAAGTATAATTTACATAGAATAAATTTACTCATTTAAAATATGCAACTCACTGATTTTTAGTATATTCAAAGAGTTGTGCAATCATCACAACTTCAAAACATTTTCATTACCTTAAAAAGAAATCCTATACCCTTTAGCTGTCACTCCCTAATCCTGCATAATCACTATCTGCCCACCCATCCTAAGCAAATACTAATCTACTTTCTGTCTCTATGGGTAGCCTATTCTGGACATTTCATATACAGTCATGTGCCGCATAACTATATTTCGGTCAGTGATGCACTGCATATACACTGGTAGTCTCATAAGATTATGATGAAGATAAATTTTCTGTAAGGAATGGAAAAGTATGTGGTTCAGAAGGGTTTTTGTTTTTGTTTTCTCTGACAAGAGTAGTTTTATGGGGCTTGGCAATGGATTCCTTCTCGCTCATAGCATCTCAATTTTAAGTGTACAAATCACATCCCAATTAGTCAGCCATTAACCAGTTTCAGCACAGAGGAGCCTATGCCTCCAGCGCTACATATTCAGTGGGTGCTATTACCCTCCCAGATCTAGTTTTATGGTCTTTAGAGTACATTGCTGTAAATTCTTTGTTAAGGACCTAAGGTCCTATACGAAGTCTATAATGTCCATAGGAACTAACTTAACAAGTATTAAGTGCCATTGCCAACTTTAGTGAAGTCTTTCTGTGGTAGTACGGAGCCAGCCTATTCATGTACCTTGAAAATATTTTCAAGTTGTAATAATGGAGAGCATAGTAAAGTTTTATTTCTTCCATCAATTCAATGCCAGAGAGTCCTTAGTCTTTAGAGTCCAGAGGTCAAAAGAACCAAAAACAAATTTCCGAAGTGAAAATACTGAGTTGTCATTTCTACACCCTCACCATATTAAGCACCCTCTATTTTTTTAATGAACATCCCACAATTTCTTAACCTGACCACTGTTTCAACATACAATAGACAAATTGTCATGACAATCCCCTATGTTCCTTTTTCTCTCCATCTTGAATTTGTATTCCTACTGATCCTCAGAACACCTTCTCACTCCTTCCTGTCAGTTACTGTTATGGTGATCTACACCTTACCCAACTAGTTTCTCCTCAATATTTTCAATCAGTCCGGTTGACATTCCTGTTCATGGAACAACATTGACAGCTTTGATGTTCTATTTCTGACCCCATTGGAAGGAAGCAGAAGAAAGGCTTCTGGGACAGTGTTCATAAAGTCTACAGCAGTGTACAATTATGTCCTAGGCCTCTACATTCACTCACCACTCACTCACCCAGAGCAACTTCCAGTCCTGCAATCTCCATTCATGGTAAGTACCCTATACAGGCATACCATTTTTATCTTTTATACTGTATTTTTCCTCTACCTTTTCTATGTTTACATATGTTTTGATACACAAATACTTACTATTGTGTTGCAGTTGCCTAAAGTATTCAGTACAGTAACATACTGTATATGTTTAGATCATAGAAGCAGTAGGCTATACCATATAGCCTAGCTGTGTAGAAAACTATACCACTTATGTTTATATAAATGTACTCTGTGATGTTCACATGATGATGAAACTATCTGATATATTTCTCAGAATGCATCCTTGTTGTTAGGTAATGCATGACTATAAATGGAATCACATAATCTGTGGCCTTAAGGATTTGATGTTTCTTTTTATGGTCTGGATACAAATTGTTTTAAGTCAGGTGTATGATTTGCAAACATGTTCTCTCAAGTATGTGGTCTTTTTGTTTTCTTATTGAAGAGCAGATTTTTTTTTTTAATGGTGGTAACATTGGTTTCTAGACTTTTGATGTTGATCGCAGCATAAATTATAATGCCATACTCCTGAAACTTATATAATGCTGTAAACCAATATTACCGCAATATTTTTTAAATTAAAATAAAATATATTCAAAATGATTTCTCTATACTTTGTTACTTTGCTTAAGATTCAAAATCTCTAGAGAAGGATTGTGGTTGACCTCGCTTATATCATGTTCTCCACCACCCCTTGGTGGAGTCAGGGCACCTTGACTTAACATCCCACCAAGACTGATCACACAGGTGGAGAGACCATTTTTCTGAAGGAAAACTGGTTCACTGTAGAAGAAGTAATGGGTTCTGGCAATGCCCCAAACAAATGGCTACTGCATTTCCCCACATCAGTGTTTGGTTAACCCCTATTTATTAATTGAGATTTTGTTTTGGAGGCATAGCCTCATGGAATAATGAATTGAGTGCCCTGTTTCCATATTTCCATAGCACCTTATTTATTTTCCATGCCAACATATACACATCACAATGTTGTATTTTCTGTCTTCTCTGTGGAGGGTGGGATAGATAGCAGAAACCCTAACTTTGATCCTAACTCTAGCTATGTTTTCCCAGGTTTTAGCACCTAGCACTGGGCACATGGTACATATTTTTAGAAAAGGTTGGAAGGTAAAGGAAGGAAGGGAGGGAGGGAAGGAGAAAATAGAGATAGACAGATAGACAAACAGAGGTGAGAGAGAGAGAGAAGGGGAGGGAAGGAAAGGAAAGGAAGAAAAAGAAAGAGGAAGAAAGGGAAGGGAGGAATGAAAGAAAGGAAAAGAGGATGGAGATAAAGAAAATAGAGAAAGAGAAAGGGAGAGTATGTGTGTCAAACTCAAAGTTCTTCAGCCCTTCTGGGATCTTTTCAACATCATCAAGCCTTTGATATTTGGGTTTGTTTTACCATTGGCAAAATAGTACTTCTATTGCTAAAGAGATGCTGGGAACTTGAGATGGCCTTTTTGAAAATGAGTAGATTTTAAAAACTAATATTTTTGTATTTAATGTAAATAAGTTAGAACTTTGCAGATCCTTTTTCTTCTGAAGTAAAAATGAACATAACATTTGCTGGTATGAATCTCTATAAAATAACATTTCAGTTTTTTTTAAATGCAAAACTTTAAAAAGTCTTTCTTCAAATGCCAAATTGCCGAGAAGTTACCATCCTTTGACTTACTGCAATATACAGAAGCCTCATCATATATGACAGAAATAAGAAATTGTCTAGTATTAAAACAAGCTGTTTACCCATTGTAAGAATGAGAATCACTACAAAATGACTGTGTAAAACTGAAAAGATTAAGAACAAAATCCCACAAGATATCGAGATACAAATTATAACTTTAACCATTTATCTTTGTTAGCTAACATATCATCTTTAACATTTGTGAATACTTGGAATTCAGTTAGTATTCTAAATATGAGCATTTTAATTTTTCCTATATTTCCAACAGATAGAGAAGTAAAACTCGAGATGTATAGATGTGGCTTAGAGCAGGGGTGGAGTGTAGAATTTCTAATTAGGAGAAACAGAGGGAAGCCGCATCTGGAAGGCAGCACTTTGTGTTGACATTGTATGTTTCTTTGGTGCGGCTTGAAGAGGGAGTGGCAGGGCTCTGCCCAAGGCTAAAGCCATGGTTCCCACACCCAAGTGATTCCTTGGTTAGCGGCTGTCAGCAAGATTAAATTTCCCAAAATTACTAGGCATGTCAGGTGTGTGTATGTGTGTGTGTAGGTGGGTGAGGAGACATGATTATATCTGGATAGCATTTTATAAAGTAAGCTCATGTTTATTCTCTTATCTAATACTGAAACTAACCCTGGGAAATAAGGAGCATTTATTTTACAGATAAATATAAAGAGCTATGCTGTGGCTGAAAGACATATCCAAGGTGATTCGTCTAGTTCTTAGCACAGTTCAAACTGCAAACCACATTCTTCTTCCACAAACTTTTCTCTAAGCCTCAGTCTTTTCATGTCTGTACTACTTCACAGAGTTGGTGAAGGATTAAATGAAAGGACATATAAATGGATGGTACGTTCTGAATGCTCAAAAAAGTGGCTATTAAAAAAAAAAAAATTCTAGGCTTTCTTCAATATACCAGATTACATTTTCAAAAACAAATGAGTTTTTATCTGTTATTTCATTTACTGGATCCATGTAGACAGTCACTTGGACTGTCCTGTACCTACTTTGTTCTGAACATATTGGGCGACCACATCAATTAAGTTTTTGTTTAGGGACTGTTGCCCTGCTGCTGCCATTGTCCTTAGTACAGGTCAGCCATTCAGCTTACAGAGAGAAAAATAAACCCACAAATGCATTCTGCATATAGAGAAACAAGCAAAGAGGAGGAAGTAAGAGTCGGCAGAAGAGAAACAGCCACTGCTCTTTTGTCATTTTTCCTTGTCTGACCAAACAGGCTGGTCTGCTGAGTAACTGTGGTGTGTTCTTTCAGCAGTCAATAAAGACATAAGATGGAGGGCGAGGAGTGAGAGTTGAATGTCTGTGGCAGATTTGCATGTCTAGTTAGGTTTGATATCCCGCCTGCTGCTGAATCTAATTCTTGCTAGGGTGACCAAACATGCTGGTTTTCTAGTGCTCGACCATTTCCTGGGATGTGGCACTTTCAATGATAAAAACAGAAAAGTCCCAGGCAAACTAGAATGACTATGTCCAGCCCAGTTTTTTAAAACCCATGACCAGATGCCTCAGGTCCCACTGAGAAGCTCTTCACCTGTCTTCCCTGGGCAACTTCAGCTCAGCCTTCTAAAAGCCTAATGCAGGACTCGTCTGCATAAAATAATTGGTTTCCTGAATTATATTCTTTTTATTCATAGCTCCACATAATTTTCAGAGAGTAGAAGAGTTAATTGGGAGATATTAAAAATACCATTTATATTTTTTCCCATATTTTTTCTTAAACTTTGGCACCTGCTACCACTTCTCTGC